CCTTAAACACTATCCATTAACTTTTATATCTCTAACCTAAATTCTTTGCTACATTGGAAGATTTCCATTGCTCGCTGCACAGGCCTTTGCTGTGGGACAATATAAAAACAAATGTTTCTTCAATCATTTTTGTTACTCGTACAGCTGTCATTATACACTGGTCACAGTAACAGCGATGCATTTATAAAAACATGCGATATTTCACGCAACATCTATATCACCGCTGAACCTAATGTCTAAAGATGAGCCATAGAAAACACGCGATGCAGTCCATACATCTCACATTCATTAACAAATCTATTAGTAGCTACGATCCTCTTTCTTTTTTCTCTTTTGTATGAAAAACAACTTTAAATGCATTTAATGTCATAGTACGACGAACACAATTGGAGATTCATCCGAAACTGTTCGACTATTCCGTAATCAATAGCAATGTATAGAAGTCATTATAGAAATTCAAGGTATATAGGTTCAGCGAGGAATCTTCTTGCTACACACTCGTCGCAAGTGATTACTTGCACTTCACGCTGGCAGAGAATGTTTTCAGTGTGTATAAGCCATTCAGCTCCTCACGTTTAAGGAGACTTTCAATAAAAATAATAATACTTGACATTATTTGTCGTCACAAGTTTCACAGTCTGCACTGCAGAAACAATTTGCAACATACAAACGTGTACACAGTTATACGTGTACGCATAGTAAGAATATTCGGTATGCACAGACATATTATCTCATAGTCTAGAAATATAATAAATTTTATAAATGTATCATATGTGTTTATGTGCACAATCTCACTAGCACTGTTACAGCCCGAATGTGTGTCGTGCGTATAAATCTGTGATTTCCGTAAGGACAGTCATGTGGAAGAATAGCAGAACGGTAATTTGCCAGAAACGTGGAATTCGTATTGTTTAATTTTTTTTAATGCTTCTTCTCTCTTAAGTTGATTTTCTTTTAATTTCATTAGAGTATTCAGTACGTAGTTTTTCTTCATCTTCTTTTTCTTTTTTTTCTTTTTTTATTTCTTTTTTTAAACTTCCTGAACCGTCAGCCAATGACATTTGACATCCAACGCTTCTCATAAAGGCAGTTACTCTATCCCAATAATTGAATAACTCAAGTATCTTCATTTGTTGACAATGTTACATAGCTCGCCAACGCTTTTGCTTCGCGGAGCATACCATATTTTTCCAATCTGTTCTGATCCAGAATCTATACTATTGTATTTAAACTGACTTACAGAAGATTTTTTCTCTGTTTTAAGCTGAGCATGAAGGTTCCTAAAATTCGAAATATCTTTATTCTTATCACTAAACATATTTGTAAAAAAATAATGAAATTGATTTTTTTCATTGACTTTGAGAGAATGTATACTGCAGAGTTTTATAAACAATATTCTTTTGCCTATTACTATATGTATCTTTTTAATTTTTACATAAAGAAATACAGTGGCGGACAAAAGAAAATTTAATAGTGGGATTTTCATAAGCGAGTATCAGTAATAATGATAAGACCCATAATAAATCTCTTTGTGTCATGGTAGCATTGCTTATCTATTCTTGGATATCTCATATTCTTTAGTTTATACAATTGGTTCATAGAGTACATACACAATTCACTTTCTGCAACTCGCGCAGAGGACAAAAGTATGTTTAAATTTTTTTAGATATAATACAACAAAATAATTGACACATATGTATATTGATTTTGGCAATCAATTGTGTCTTTATTTTTAAAGAATAGTAGAAATGACAGAACATTACTTATCTATATTTAAGTCATTTATTTAAATTGAAAAAAGATCTTGTAGACAAAGGAAAATTTTAGCAAAAAGAAAGTTTGAATAAGTTTAGTTTTTAAGAAGGCAATAACTATAAACACACTTAAAAAATTTCATTTGCATTTTTGGCCAAGAAAAGTGGTCACTACAATAATAATAACAAATCTCAATCTGTTTCCAAATGTTTGAAACATTTTAAATAAGCATGTCTCTTCAAGAGCTCATACTAAAAAAAAAGTATATCCAGGTTGATAAACATATATAATATAAAATGTATAAACATAAATACATAATTAAACTTACTTTTGTCCAGCTAGTTTCTTCACTTGTCTAGTGTTCTCAATAAAACACATATTTTCTCATTCATATGTATAATTTTCTTATTCCTATTACTTTATGTGATGTATGTATTTATGAAATATTCATTGTTTTTGTAAAATATAATTCCTTTTCATAGAGTTATGGTGCGTTTTCATCGCTTACCTTTTAAATTTTCCTTTGTCCGTCACTGTATGTTTCTTTACAACTTGATCAATATAATTCCATCGAAAATTATGACGTACAGGCGTACCATCTAATATTGTTTTATTATATTTCTTATCCTGCACAGTTTTAGTTACTTCTTTTTGTTTCACATTCTTTTCATCTTGTCGAATAGCTTTTCTTGAACTACTGTCTAAACTTGAGTCATCATCCTTGGAATATTTCTTTCTTATTGAAGAGAGCTTCTTTTGTAAGTTACAGAAGAATACATCATCTATAGAAGCAGAAGATGATTCTTCGTCACAGAGGAGGACAGGTGTCTTCTCCCCTGTGGGAGGCGATTGAAAGACGAGTTTTTCAGTCTGTGAGCTTGTTGAAATAGAACTGAATGTGTTTGAATTATTAGGAGTATTACGCCCCTGACTACCCACATGCATATGCCCTCCACCCTGCCCCCCCTGACTCTGGGAGAGGCTTAGTCGCCGTCAGTTTACCAATTCTACATTTACAAATTGCTTCAGTCGCTCCACATATTGATCAAATAAATCTACATTATTGTGGCCAGCACCCTAGAAACAATTTATATCGATCTTACAATTTTCATTCCCTTTCTTTAAATAAAATTAACATAAAATTACATACCTCAATCCATAATGGTTCTACAGCCCTTGGACATCTCTCATAAATGGCCAAACCATGACTGAAACTTATCACTTCATCCTCAGTTCCATGAATAACCAAAACTGGAGATGTAACTTTGGGTATTTTATCTATACTGCAAAAGATATTTTACATTGTATAAATATATACTTACATATATAAATACATGTAAAATTCTTATTATATGTATATGCAATCAAATCGTTTATGATCTGTTTTCATTTGTGATAACTTTAATTATTTAATTATTTAATAAACTACAATATTATCAAATAACGATTTATTATAAAAAAATTGTTACATGTTAATATGTGTATAAAAGTCATTTTTTTATAAAAGAACATTATAATATATGCAATAAACTATTTTTCCGACTATTTCTTTGTAAACTTTCAAACTTACTATATTCAGTAATTGTAAATATAATAACTCACATATGAAATTAGTCCACAAATTTATAAATACAAAATATATTAATTAAATAAAGTTAAACCGCCATGCATGAACTATAAATATTGGAAAGTATAAGCGTAACGCTTGCTAAAGACAAATACGACGATGGATTGTGCAATTTAAAGGTTTCCATAAGAAGTTTCCAGATTAACTTTTATTGCTTCTCGCAAAGTAATTCAAAAAACGTGAGCGTAAAATAAAGAGTACCTTTTGCTTGTAAAATGTAAAAACATATTCACTAATGCTCCTGAATGAAATCGGAAAATTTGTATATACACTTATGCTGTGTATGTGGTACATCAATAACGTAAAGGAACAGTAAACTACGTGAAAACAACAAATTAGAGTTCTAAAAAGTAAAAAGTTTTTAAATTTAATTACTTTTTATTTGAGCATATTTATTACGAAAAACGATTATTACATTTTGTTTACATTTTAATAATATTAAACTAAAATTTAATGAATATTATATTTACGCAAGTTTCTTTATGCGTAAGCGAAAAAATATCTTTTCTTATTAT